AGCCCTTGCTGTACTTCTCTTGCTCCCTCTTCACTGCGTGCAGGATGGCCATTTTCAGCACATGATACATCTGAGGACAAGTGGACCTGGGGCTTCAGGACTCTGTTCCCATCCCTCAGAGTCGTAGGAAGTGGCAGAGCCAGATTTTGAAGCTAGTTTCATTGGACTCCAAATGTCATGAGCTTGGACCACAACCTCTGTTCGAGTAGAAAGTGTAAAAGGAGTATTGGGAAGACTGAAACAAATGAGGGAGAAAAACAGACCTAAAGCAAAGTTATAAAGCAAGAGTCTTTATGGCTGATGCAGAGACTTTTAAATAAAAAGAAAAATTAAGTTTTGGGTTGGTGAAATGACTCATTGGGTAAAGGTGCTTGCTGCCAAATCTAAAGATCTGAGTTCAATCCTCGCATCTTATATTGTGGCAGGAGAGAAACAAATACTTGGAGTTATCCTTTGACCTCCATGGGTGTGCCTCAATACACAGAAAGGAAGAAAGGGAGGAAGGGAGGAAGGGAGGAAAGAAGGAAGGTAGTTAGTTTCCAAAATAATTGAGCAGTTCTGAACTGAACAGAGAATTCTCAATAGAAGAAATTCAAATGGCCAAAAGTAACCACCTTTTTAAAGGAAATAACAAATATTTTTGGTAAAAGTGCCATTTTGAAAGCAATAATTTGTGTGCATATTCCGTGTGTTTCATAGGTGACAAAGTCAGTGTTTTCTATTCCAGGATTGATAGGAATCATACTCAGGGGTGTGGGATAAAGACTTAAGGTCAATGAGGCAGCACCCCATCAGCATACATGCAACCCCACACCAGTGGCCTGTGCTTTTCCACAAGGTTCCATGACTTACAAATAAACCAAAACTGAGGACCCAAGTTTACAAAATTGGTAATCCCTGAGCTAGACTTTTGGGACCCACTTGGACTGGGACCCCAAGACCTTCACTCACACAATGCTTTCCAGTCACCTCTCCTCACCCCTCACGTCATTTGTTGGCAAACCTGTCCTCTGACACGCCGCGGAAGTGAAAAGGATTCAGCCCCCGGCACACTTCCGAATTACTGCAGAAGGGAATGTCTTCTCACCTCCGTTCCTTCTCCTTCTTTATTAGAAATGCAACAAGTGCTTTGGGAACTGACAATGACAGCATCCAAAGCAGAATGTGGGGTGGGGGGGGGGGACATTGTTACTTCTACTTCATACATGTGACATCGTGTTTTAATAAAACGTAGACACACACACCCCCATCCCCAGAACTGTTGCATTGACATTGGGCTGTGTTTGGGTGCCAGAAAGACTAGATTTCTAGTAGAGGCTGTCATCAGAACAGCAGCACAAATACTTGAGCCCAACAACAACAACAATAACAACCAGTGTGTTTGTTACCAGGGTTTCAGGCTGGGGCTCGTGTGCAATGTGTTATATTTTTCAAAATCCTGTTCATACCTAGAAGGGGGCATATGCATGGGCATGCACACACGTGATCCCCAAAACACTGGGTGTCTTCTTCAATTGCTCTCTGCTCTATTTCCTGAGGCAGAATGCCTTGCTGAACCTGGAGCCTGCCTGGCTCGTTCGACTAGCCATCTTATCCCTGAGACTCCTTGGCCCGGCCCTCTGAATGCTGGGATTGCAGGTGGCTTCCATGCCCACCCTACTTCTGTGTAGCCCTAGGGATTAGAACTCAACTCCTCACACTTGCACAGCAAATGCCTTATCCACTCTACCCACCATGCCATCTCTCTGGCACGCACAATCTTGTTTTTTACTATGGCTTTTTTTTTTCTCCCCTTGCAAAGTCAGTTGTTGCCAGAGGCATCCTGCTGCTCTCAAGAATTTGCCCAGCATGAAAACAACAGATCTGCACACAAGGATGGTGGGACACAGCCCTTCAGAGTTTCCTCACAGCATGTTTTAAGAGATCCACAAAGGTAGCTTGAATAAACCAAAAAAAAAAAAAATGTGTAGCGCTCCGGAATGATTGAAACCTACACACATCACTGGACACATTGCTGCGTCACTGACCCCATGGGTGCAGAGGTTGGCATGCCACCACTGATGTCGACTACTAAGGTTCATTCTGCAAGCTTCAGGTTGTCTCTGAAGAATCGTGACTTTTCATGTTCACATTTAAATGGCTGATTGCGGTCAGCGCTGATGGATCAGGTCTGACTAGATAAGTAAGATAATCAAACAGGGAGGATCATTTTGTAGATTCTCCAGTCCTATTTAATGATCTAGAGAGGTAATCTACTAAGTTTCATGTAGAAGCTGGGAGAATTTATTTCAGTCCCTCCTTCCCTCCCCAAACCACAACTTATTGCCTCCAGATATATAGTTTATTCACCATGTAAAGACTTCTCCTTATCAATCTGTTTTGATCTTTTGTGGATATTCCTGCTCTGCTATAGCAAAGTCTTAGAAAATCAATAAGCTAAAGGCTGATATTTTTAGTATGCATAAAATAGACACAGGGAGGGGAGAAAAGCCAGCGTCATTTATTCAAGTAGAAATAGCTTTACAGACGTTGAGATGGGGATGCTCCTTAGTAAGCGAGGTTTTGTTTGGAATTGCTGGAAGGCAGTGTAGTAAAAACTAAAGACATGTTCTTCCTGTGGAGGGGGTCTTTGGAAAAGAAGAGAGATGATATTTAAATTACTGGTATAAAAAGGTATTGTTGATTTAGCTTATAATTTTGCCCAAAGAAAGACATTGTCTTCATTATTATTGTCATTCCATTTCTAAAGAACAGCTTTCAACATTATTTTTCCTTTTTCAAAAAATTCTCATTAAACTTTTAAAATTTATTTTGCATACCCACCACAGTTTTCTCTCCCTCCTCTCATCCCATTTCCTCCCCCCACCTCCTGTCTACCCCTCCCCCAGCCACTCCTCAGAAAGGGTAAGGCCTCCCATGGGTGGTCAACAAAACATGCACATCAAGTTGAGGCAGGACCCAGCTCCGTCCCCCTACATCAAGGCTGAGCATGGCATCCCTCCATAGAGAATGGGCTCCAAAAATCCAGCACATGCACCAGGGCATTATCTTTTTAAGATATGGTGGGCCCACCATGATACGTCTATTTCCCATCTCCCAGCTGCTAAGCACACCACACTCACTGTCCCGTTTACTCACCGGAGTAGCATCAGGAGTCAGCTACTGAAAAGATGCCTCCCTGGTGCTTGCTCTGCACCAGATTAAGTCTTCTGCAGATTTTAATTCATCTGTCTTCACCCCATCCTCTGCAATGGATGCTGATAGCTGCCGTCTTACAGACGCGGAAGCTAAAATACAAAGACATTGAGTGACTGTTGGCTAGCAAACCCTGAAGCAGGACGTGTGCTCCGGCTCCCGGCTGCAGAGTCAACACTGCTTGCCTCTAGTGTGTGCCAGCAAGGACCCAGGACTAGCAAGAGTAGGAATGTCCAAAGATACATGACTCAGGGACAACAGAGCTGTACTCAGGTCACACCGAGAGCTTAGAAATGTCAGCCCCAGCCCCTAGTTGTACATTTTCTCTACTTTGGTCATGCATGACTAATGTACTGGCCATGGTTCTGGTGTGAAAAGCAGCTACATGTATGTGCCTCCCACACTGTGCCAATTTCAGCTCTGGCACTTAATATGATAATGAAGCCAGGCGTGGTAATGTAAGACTATCATCTCAGCTCTTAAGACGCTGGGGCAGGAGGACCCAGTCTAGGTGGGAAGCTGTCTTAAGAAAAAAAGAATATATAGCAAATTATATAATATGAGATACACACGCACACGCACACACACACACACATGATTAGAATGAAAGGAACAGAGAAACAAGGTGGTTGAGCAGGTGAAGATGCTCTCTTCTAAGCTCAACAATCTAAATTTGCTCCCCACAACCAACATGGCAGGGGAGAACTAAGTCCGGCCCACTGTCCTCTAACCTCTACAAGCTTGCTAAATAGCACACGGGGATAATAAATAAATACTTTAAAAGAACGCAAGGGTAAATGAGCTGTAATATGAATTTAGCTCGTGCAAAGGTTTTTGTGTTCTTAGTAGACCTTGATTACTGGTTTCTACGATGACTGTCTGCACTGAGAAGCTTACCACTATCAAAGACAATCTTTGAGGGGGAAAAAAAAGACAATCTTTGACCTATGCTGGGGTAGTGCTTCTATAACTTAAGGAGCATAAACATCGTCTGGGCATCCCAATAAATACCCATCTGGTGGGTGGGGCGCTGGGATTCTACATTCGCCACAAGCTAAATCCGAGTCCTCAAATTCAACCTTGACAGAGAGCACTTTCGTGGACAGAAGAGCATTTAGGGAGTTCAGGGGAATCAACTGGGCCAAAAGGAATGGTGATCTCATCAGGTCTCAGCAAAGGAAGGGATGCAAAAATGTATCTGGTCCAATTATCGAATACTTTCTGTCCTGTTCCTGATCGGTCATACTGGCCCTTGAGTTAAGTAAGTATTCTTCATTGAGGGTCTCTAATAGTCAATGGGAGAAGAGAAATTTGGAAGTGATGCCTAAACCAGAAGAGCAATTCAAGAGCAAGACTTAAGAGACTGCGGGTCTCACACCCAAATGAGCAATACATGTGCAGGTTCTTTTTCAGTGCCTTTGGATGTTTATTCAAAAGCTTTCATAATCAATGTGCTGGACCAGAGCGTAAGATGAGCATGCGGATCCCCCCCCAAGCCTTTTCTTCCTGCTGTGACATAAAGATTCAGCCCTGATTGACAGGTGAGACCCGATGGCAGCTGTGCAGCAGCTGTGCGCCTCCTTGGCTGCACAGATAGCACATGCCAGGGCCCTGGGACCAGATATTTTCAGTGAACAGGAATTGCTAGGATCGTGCCATAGTTATTTCCTCCCATCTCAACTGTCGAAGACTGAGCCAAAAGACACACGTTTTGCTCGGTTCTCTGATTGAAGGGCGGCTGACGTCTCTTCTCCCACTCATCCTCATCCTCCAGCTGCTGCACAGTTCTCTGCTTTCTATTTCAGGTGCCAGGAGAGAGCGAGAAGCAGTGGAAACCGGCCCTCGTTGTTCTGACTGAGAAAGATCTTTTAATCTACGACAGCATGCCGCGAAGGAAGGAAGCCTGGTTCAACCCGGTGCATTCATATCCACTTCTTGCTACCAGGTAGCCTTGACCGTGGGTTTGGGTGGTGTGTTGCAAGTTTGATAGTGTCTTAATCAATTAGAATCATTTCAACACATTCTAGTGTTGCCTAATGGTATGGCCAGGGCTGAAAGCGCCTTAGGAATATTGGTACATATTTAGCCAGGTAGGTTACTGTTATTAACCAAAGCAGCGTGGAGACAGTAGACTACCGTCTGTCCTTAAGGCACCAAATTATTTGTGTGATGTCCCAGACTGAAATTTTTCCTGGATACCCATCCTATCCCCTAGGAAATAAACTAGATGTATGTGTTTCCAGTCCTGGGGCCCAAATGCATTCATCAAGCAAGGGTCTTTACTTGACAACACAGCAAAGAGCCCATGCCAATGCCCATTATATTTGTGAGAGTTCCCCTCAGGTAAGTTCCTCCTGCTGTGTGTGATGTTGCCGTGGAAATAGCACCAGCTCATTCTGTTTCTTGGCATCTTTGCTGTACCCTAGTTACCCACATGCTTTGCAGCTTTTCTTAGACTGACTTACCGGACTGTGATTGACACACAAAAAAGCTGTATATGTAAGGTATGCAACTGGGTGAATGCAGAGGGTTGCTCACATTCTTAAAACCATCACCGCAATCAGTACCATAGTGCATATTTACCACCTTGAAAGAACCCCTTGCCCTCTTTATTTTGCATCAGGGAAACCATGTGTCCATTGACCAACAACTACCAGTTTCTTCCTCTCCTTAGTTCCTGGTAATAATCATGAAACTCTATGAATTTGACATTTTAGAGTCTCCACATAAGTTGAATCATAGAGTATCTGTCCCTATTCTGACTTATTCTACTTAGCTGAATTTTCTTTTTTTAAAGATGAATAACATTCAGTTATGTGTATACACGCACGCACGCACTCACATGCACGCGCACACACACTCACACACACACCCCATATCACATCACATCACTGTAGCATGAATAATAAAAACCCAGAGACAGACATTGGGGTTCAACCTGAAAATCAGAAAAGCAAAAGCAGCCAAATCGGCTACTAGAGAGCTCTTACCTTTTTGAAATCTTCAGACTGAAAGGGTACAAATTCCTGTCTCATCCCGCCTTATCTTTCTCTCTAGTGCTGGATTAGAGGCATGCACCAACATCACCTGGCCTCTGTGGCTAACTAGTGTGACTGCTGAAATTTAAAGTGTGTGCCAAAACTGCCTGACCTATATGACTGACGAGGGTGACTGCTTTGCACTGACCTTCAGGCAAGCTTTATTTATTAAAATACAAATGAAATATCACTATAAATCACATTACATTCTCCTTATAGAGGAGCATTTGGAGACCTTATATTTGCTGAATTCAAGTACTTAAATAAGCTAGTGGTACCCGAAAGCAAATGATACTAACCCAATAGTATGCATGCTTATGGAAGACAATGGAGAAATAGATTCACCCATTTGATCTTTGGCAAGGATACCAATAATAGAAGACATATGGGGGAAGAAAGATCACTTTAATAAATGTTTCTGGGAAAAAATGGATATCCATATGCAAAAGATTGAAATTGGTCCCTTATCTCAAACCACATAGAAAAATCAACTCAAAATAGATTAGGAGCATATTTAAAAGTAAAATCTAAAATCAAGAAAGCCCTAGAAGAAAACCTTCTTGACATGGACTTAGCTATATTTTTTGGGTATGACACAAAAAGCACAAACAAAAAAAGCAAAAATAGATAAACAGGATTATAATAAACCAAGGAGCTTCCTAATGGCAAAGGAAATGACAAAATAAAAAGGCAGCCTACAGGATGTGGGGAAAGATTTGAAACCTACATATCTGACAAAAGGGTGATAGTCAGAATTCAGAACATAAAAGGAGGTCCTACATCTCAACAACATCACACACACAAACACACACACACACACACACCTTGTTTAGAAAATGGGTTATAGACCCAAAGAGACATTTCTCAGAAGATACACAAATAAACAACATGTTTGTATAAAAACAGCTCAACATCACTAATCCTTGGAGAAATGCAAATCACAGATACGCATTCCCTTATGTCTTTTAGATGGCTATTATTAAAAAGTATGAAAATTTAAAATGTTATTTTTAATGTGGGGCATAAGGAGCCTTTGCTTACTATTTCTGGGCTTGCAAAGTGAGGCAGTCACTGTGAAAAAGTGTGGAGAATTCTCTAGAAGTTAAGTTAAAGCTGCCTAGCAATCTCACTTCTGGAGATGGATTTAAAAGAATTAGCTCTAGTATCTCAAAGAGATCGCTTCACTCCATATTCATTGCAGCATCATTGCTAGGAGCCATGTCATGAAAGGGGGTCAGAGGGCATCACAGTTGCAGCCTCCTCCTTAAAGACCTGTGGCCTTAGAAAACTGTGACTAAAACTCGAGTGCCGCCTTGAAGTCACTGAAAACTTCTTGGCCTGGTTTCTGCTGCCAGCTCCCTCTCTGTGTGGTTTATGACAGTGATCTGGTTTATTTCCTTGGGCATTGTGATTTTTTTTAGAAGTTGGATGTGTGAACATAATTGTCACCTTCCTGACTTAGTGCCTGCCAATACCCAGTGGCCTCTTTGGTTATCTGTTGGGTGAACAATCAGACAATGTGAGAAGGCTCCTTTTGAACTTTGGTCCAGCAGACTCATCAGAGTGCACCTGAGCTTCGAGCATCTGTCTTGATATAGAAACGTGACAGGTCCCCAATCCTAACAACAATCATAGTTTAGGTACACGAAAGAGAACCAGAAGCAGCAGAATAGGCGGTAACACTAGATCACAATGGTAATACTCACAGAGTAGAAATTCTATTTCCAGTCATGGTTGATAGTGGGTACCATTAAAGTTGACCCGAAGATAGAAATTTTGGACCCCTCTCCTGTGAATTTCAGTGAGATTTTTGAGGATTAGGAGCCATCTCTATATTAGTACAAAAACAAAAATTAAAAAAGATCAAATGTTCCATGCTTTAAAATCTGTGGCACAATGATCCTTACGGCAAAGTACATGTTGTGATAAGCCTGCAGCGATCATCTTAACGTGTTTACACGGAGGTGGGGATTTGCCACGCTCACCCAGGCCTATCACCTTCACTATGTAATCTGCATCCATAGCACTCATCTCATCCCAAGGAATGCCTGCAGCTGAAACCAGAGAAAGCTTAGCGCATAGATACCATTCCCGTTACCCAGAAGGGAGACGGAACGGGCACCTCCCATAGCGGTTGTCAGGAACAACGGTGGTGAGAAAGTAGTTTCTAGATGAACTCTCGGAAAACAAAACTAGCCCCAGCTCATTTTCAGATTCCTCCTCACAGCTTCTGGGCATGTCAACCAGGGGCGGTTGCCGTTTCATTCATTCATTCTTCAACATTCATAATTCATGTGCTATGTGCCAGAAGTTGTAATTAAGGCGAAGGCCAAGGATGTGAAATAAAGTACAAACTCCAAGAATAGATATATTTATGGGCAGCTTTAGACCCTTTAGACCAAACACAACAACGAAAAGCTGACCACCATGTCCGGGGAGGTACTGAGGAATAATGTTTGCATTGGAGCCTGAGTTCCGGGAAGTCTGCAGAAAGTGATGGCAAGAGCTGGAGTCAGGGGCAAGGCTTTCCAGAGAGTAGAGAGATTCAATCCCAGAGTCCCTGCTTCCTGTGTAGTGCAGTGTGGTGGGCTCAGAGCACCAGACATGACCTTGCAGATCACGGAGATGAGAACCAGTATTTGACCCAGGCGAGTGCCCAGCACTTGACTTAAGTCTTTCCTGGAGCTCTTACACCCATTTCACAAGCCTCCTCCAGATTCAGGCCTGCAGGCTCAGAAGGGTTCAGACACTGGCTGAAGGTCAGAAGGGTACCCTACCCGGGAGTCACAGGAGGTTCACTCGGGTGGTGGAATGCAGAGTTAGCCTTCTCATGCGCTCTTATCAGTCTGAGCCCTGGGGAGCATCTCTTGGTAGCAGTCACAGGTACGATCAGGCTAGGTATTCTTACCTTTGGCATACAAAACAGAAAGGCCAAGGGGTGACTGCTGAATTCAAACCGTGGTTCCAATTCCACTGCGAGGAAGAGGGAAGTAAATAGGTAAAAATGAAACCACCTTTCTGTGAAGGCACAAAGTCTTAAGCTGCTGGGAGACACAGCTGTTTCTCAGTGGTCACGTTCAACTCTTCCATAGTAAGACCAATCACAGCAACATAGTGGCTTGGTGAATTTGAAAGACCTACAGAGGCTTCACATAGGCCCGTCTTCCTAGAGGTGGGAGAGAGGACACCTGAGGTGAAAGGAAGTATTCAATAGGTGCTCCTAAGGAGGACCAGGAAGCAGGGATGAGATGGGCCAGGAGCCACCAAGAGGGATTGGAGATGGTTCCTAAGCCTTCGCCTGACCCCACAGAGAACTCTAAGGTTTCACTCTCCAGCATGCCACCCACTAGCCATTGATGCCTACTTTAGGGAATTCAATGTAAATAAGCTAAGAGCTTTCTTTCTGTCTTACTGAATCCATTCAAGCACTCAATAGCCCTATGTGGCTAGTGGCTACCACGATAGATAACACATGGCCAAGATGTTCCCCAGACATGTGAAAGCTCTCCGGCCAGTACTTCCTAGATCATATGCACTGTTAAACACACTATACCTGACTTCTGGTGGCTCAGCCTTGACTTTTTGACATCATGAAAATGTCAAAACATTATACCTTAGTAGAAACGACAGTGTCCTATATTGCTAAGTTATGAAAACTTGATATTTTCAGTGTATGGTAGGCTTATCAATCTTCAGTCCCACTGTTAAGTTGAGGAGAACTGGTCCATATCTCCTTTAGACTCTGTCCCAACTCAGCTCAGTCAGCCGGCCTGCCCCTCCTCCAAGGAGTCCTTCATCAACTAAGGATGCTGGACAGCTATCATCTTTGGGGTGGGGGTCTCAATGCTGGCTGCATAAGCAGGCACAGCAGCTCCAAGGTCAGGGCCATTGCCAAAGCAACAGATAG